TGAATTAAACTGGTTTCTGAAGAGAGAGGGGGGCTTGGTTTTCCCTATTATTTTTTTTCTGGCAGTATGTTTTGACTTGAGAATCTCTGCTTTGAATAAAATTACCATGCTAAACTCTAGAAAGGTCATAATTAATTAATTTAACTTCTGATTCCAATTAAACATCTAAATGATTCTCATTCATTTAAATGTTTAATCCTAATAGCTTTTAATAAAAAGTTATTTTTAACTTTTAACTCTGCCAGGAAAGATAGAAGCTCACCTTTAGAAAACTTTAGAATAACATTATAATGTTTTGGCCCATTGTGTATCATCGCAACAGCAAACACCACAAGCCGTTTCTTGTGCCCACAGCAAAATTTTAAATTATGTTTACTGTCCATGCCCACATCATTCTGGTTTTTCCTTGTCATACATTACAGCTAGTGTTCTAGAGAGAATCCTCCCACTACTGAGATTTTATGCTGAAACAGGTTTTCAGCTTGAACAACATAAAGTCATATAGCTCAGTCAATTTAAAACTTGCATTTCTTGATAGCATTATTTTAAATACTATTTTCTTGCTACACTCACTTCAAAATAATTGATTATTGAATATTTAGCTTACCTCCCTCCAGCTCATACAGAAATCACAATACTTGAGCATATATACAATAGCTGTTTTATATTGTGCAATACTATTCAGCCAATACAAAATTATGAAGGTGATGAATCATCACAGTAGAAGTTGTGTGATTAAAGCAGAAACTGTCACTAAAGTGATGCTGCTGAAATTACCTGTCATTCTTTGAAAGAAAGTCTGAGAAAGACAGTGTACAAGTTACTTTTTGATGACAGATATGGCAATACTTTGACCAGGAGAAATTCATTGTTCACGGAGCTGTTGAAAAGAAGAGGCAAGAGGAAAATACTAATGACATTATTCAGCCATCATTTCTGTTTCAGGTCAGTCAGGGGAATAGCCTGAGCTGTCTTTTTCAAGGTGCTCATAGACACCATAGAGAAGAAAAATACTACAAATCTTGCAAATTTGCAAAGGAATTCATCCAGTTTCAAAAAGCCCACACTTAGCTGCAATAAAAGATGATCAGTTGTGAAAAATGCATCTCCTGCCTCAGCAGAATGCACATCCCACAACTGGCACTGCACACCAAACTTAGCAGAGATGCTGCCTGTCCAAAGAGATCCAATTTAAAATAAGAAAAAGAGAATACACCATCAATTAAATTTTAGGGTTATTTTCTGGTTTTCCTTTTTTTTCTTTCAATTTTAACTGTAGTTACAGTATCTTCAATGCCGTTCTAACACAATCATGGAACTCTTGAAGTTCCATCACCCAAGCTAAGTTCTATATATTCCCCTCCATTTACCCATTTCTGCACTTATTTGCCATATTTAGGCCCAAATGCCATGTTTCTCACTCAGCATCCCCTTCTTTACAAGAATAGAAGATGGGAAAATATACAAATATATTACAATTTCTGACAATGGGGTCTAGGTCCTCCAACAGCTGCAGTTTCCAATCCTTTACAACAAAAAGTTCCTTACTTTTCTATACAGTTGCCCAACTGAAAATTACTATCTAAAATAGATTTGAGAGAATCAGGTTCAAGTTTAAACTGAACACTATTTTAGACATTTTCTGGACTTTGGTGAGACAGAAAAAAAAAATGTTTCATACACTTATTTTCAAATATAAAACTAATTAGAAACATATATATATTGTCTATATATCCAACTATATATCATGTCCATTTATAACTATATATCATCTCTTCTTTCAAATTTTATAAACATACTTAACATGCAATTTTAATTGTATAAGGATAGGCATTTTCAGCATGAAAATTCCTTCAGTTAATTTTGAATCTAACTCTGCTATAGATCAGTATACCGATTGCTTTGTGGTGGGTGTGGAGTTGACTAAGTAGAGATGGGAGGAAGGCTGTGGAGCTTGTATAGCCTGGTAAATGTGCTTTTTTGAGAATGGAAACAGAAAGAGTAATCGTTTAGTGTGTCTTTTTCCCCATTCCTTCAGTGATACAGATCTAGAAGTGAAGTAAGAAAGTCATCTCTTTTTTCAGGGTTTCAGAACACAGAGAATCAAACATCCTTCAGTCTGCAAAGAAATATTTACTGACAAAGGAGAAACGAGCACACTTCACACAGTAGCAACAATCTGCTGAGCATTTGCCTGTTTTACATTGAAAACCCCCACATTTTAATAGTTTCTTTTAAATCATGCTAAGTCAAAGACACTGACGAGGGAAGGAATAAAGTTTCAAATAAGGAATAATATTTGCATTTAAGGGGAAAGAAAATGCTCTGCCTATGATACATTGGTGATTTGACTACATCATAACCGGTGTTGTTCCAGATTAGGGCAATGTGCTAGGAAACTATCAACATATGCACCATATGCACTATATGCACCATATGCTGCCTTTATTCTCCCACTTTTCATTAGACATCTACTTCAAGACAGGATGTTGGACTATGTGAAAGTCCAGTCTGATACAGTATTGTGATTTTTATGGTAATTTGGCTTTTCCCAGCAAGAAATAATCTTTCTTTTTTAATCACTTGACTGGATGAAATGCCATTTTGAAGGTTTAAAAATATTTCGGTTTTATACTTATTTTGCATTAATGCCTGTGACACCAGTTTGCAGTTTATTTTAAATATGCTGACTTTTCGTTATGGTTTAACCCCAGCCAACAATCCAGCCCCAGGCAGCTGCTCACTGGACCCCAGCAGAGGAACAGGGGAGAAAATGGAAAGGGTTGAAGCCAGAATATTCATGGGCTGAGATAAGGACAGTTTAATAGGGAAAGCAAAACCCACACACACAGAAGGAAAGGAAAAAATGGAATTAATTCCCTGCTTCCCAAGGGCAGACAGGAGTTCAGCCTTCTCCAGGAGAGCAGGGTCCCATCACAGGTAACGGTGGCTTGGGAAGATGAATGCCATCACCCCAAATCCCCCCTTTTCCTCATTCACTTTATACACTGAGCATGATGCCACATGGCCTGGAATGTCCCTTTGGTCAGCTGGGGTCACCTGTCCTGGCTGTGTCCCCTCCCTCCCTCCCAGGCACCCCCAGCTCCCTCACCAGTGGAGTTCACAAAAAGCAGAGAAGGCTTTGGCTCTGTGCAGCAACAACAACAAAAACATCTCTGTGTGATCAGCCCTGTGCTCAGCACAAATCCAAACCCAGCCCCACACCAGCCACTGCACAGAAAATGAACTCTTACCCCTACTCTCTACCAAACCAGCACACCATGACTTGCACAGAACACACAACTGCCCCTTTGCCCCCAGTTCTTCTTCCTCCCACAGAAGGAACATACATGCCAGAACTTTCCCAGCAGTTTTTGTCTTGCAGACTCATTTGTTTCTTTCGACTCCCCTGCAACCTCTTTTCTTGTGCTGTGTGCAGTAGACCAGTCTCCAGAAACTACTCCAGATTAAAATTGATGACTTCAGCTGGTTTATTTTTGTCATAGATCATCATCACTGAATGATGGAGCAGAATCCTTGTGCTGGCCAGGGAGCTGCAGAATTCCTACAATGCCAGGGCACAAGTGGTGGAGACTTCTTTCAGCAACAGTGCCCTGATTTGGAACAGACTCCAAACTAGTCTGAGTCACTTTTGGCCTGTCACTGTTGGGCATCCACAGCTCCCTGCCCAGCCACCCTTTACAGGCAGCCCACACATCTCTGAGGAGTCATGGATATCACTTTCATAATTAATGTTCTAGGTCAAGGCATTTCAGAGGAAAAGAAAGAAAAAAAAGATTGATTAGCAGTTTTTTCTGGGATGTTCAGAAATTACTGCTGATCTTTTTTTGCTCCAGGGTACAGACAAGTTTGGTCTGTGTGTTTGATTAGCCTCATCATATTGAAGGAATTGTGAATGTTCTAGTTAGACAAGAGGTTGTAAGAACATTTTCTGCTGAAGAATGATTATTCGCATTTGAATGCAGTATCTTGACATCTATTAGCACCAATATTGATGGCAATACAATCAATTTATATTACAAAATATGGGATGATCTCTATCAAAGGCAACATCAGAAAACTGACAGAGAAATGATTTTCCATTAACTGTGACAGATGTAGTCATATAATTCTCCTGGGTATTATTTTAGTGGGTGAAAACTATAGTGAATAAATAGGACAGTTCAGTTGGAAGGGATCTACAATGATTGTATTGTCCTCCAATCTTAAAAAAAAACCCCAAACCTGGATTACATAATTCAGGGGGGACTGAATGCTAATATTCCAGGCATTCAAAATTCCTTATGTGTAGTGCAAATTGTTGCAAAGGATTCCATGTTGTTAACCACTCTAGGTTTGAAAAGCACTTAAAACTTATTTTTTAAAACTTTTTTCAAACATATCACACAATAATAACAGACATGAGGTAGCATAAAGCGTATGTGCTATACTTGTTTTGGGACAAGTACAAAGGTCCTTCTAGACTTACCTGAAAACAAACACAGCATGTAAATTCTTCTAAAACCTACTGAAGTGCTTAGAAATTGTTAAAATGCTCTATATAGGAAAAAATACTCTTGTATATAGAACTTCCGAATATGGTTATAGTGTCATGTCTTTTAAGACAAGCATTTTAACTCCTGAATATTTATAATATCCAACCAAATCAAAATTGACTATATTTGCGTACACATATAACCCTTACCTCAGGTAATATTAGAAATTATCTTTCTTGGCTATAAATCCTCAGATTACATGCTATTATTTAGCACACAGAGAAGCAGCAGAAGGAATAGGCAAAGAAAGGCAGGTTAAATAGCAAGGGGATATCAGAAAAGAGGGAGCGGGGAAATGAAATTTCCCTTATATAACCTGAACCTAATGTAATCCCTGCTTTATTGAATTCCAAGGCTTTATAATTTAAGGGATGTTTTTCTTGCTTTTCTTAAATCATAACCTATAACTAAACAAAAGCAATGCAAGTGCAGTAACAATGAATGTACTTTCGAGATCATTTATTCAAATATGCTAATTAACAAAGGTTACCTTTTCAATTTGATTTTGTGGAGCAGTATTCTCATAGTTACCATGCCCTGTACAGTTCTTAAACACTAAAATTCTAACAGAGGTGCTCTCAGTAATTTTCTACATGCAGATGACAATGACAGGCTTGGTTTTTCTTTTGCTTGACACCACTATGAAGAACCATTCACTGACCGAGATACTTTCTTCACCAATGACAGATGGTCTGAAAGGAAAAAAAAAAAAAAAAAGTGAATATTTGGCTTCAAAACTGAAAACAGACACATCACGCTCCCCTTTCTCTACTACCTTAAAAATACCCACTGGCCTGTCTCCACTTAGATGCTGGTATTTTCTGAAATAGTACCACCAGCTTCCTCCTAACCGTGACATAAGCTGTAGCAAGCTGTCTGCAGTGATAGCCTGCATAAATCATCGCTCCTGAAGGGAACAGATGTTCAGGGTATGAAAGAGTAATACCACAATTTAGTCATAATTAAAATTCACCTTAGCATGCCTCTATCAGTGAGCAGAGAGGAACATTTCACTTCTCACCTACAAAAATGAAATGCCTCTCATTTCTTCTGCTTCAGAAAAATTAAGTCTGAACCTTTTGTACATTGTTTGGGTTCCACGTCTGACACCGCATCGTATAAATGACATTTTTATTTCACTTCAATTCCTAGTTTTTTTCCTTCCCCAAACACTAGGAAATTACCTCTAAATGGTGTACTGCCACTGCACAAAATGCACTTACAATTAAACCTTCAAAGGAAATTGTTGCACATTGCATGCAGAAATACAATCAGTATCCAGCTACGGATCAGACCTGTGCCAATAAACACAATCATTGGACTGATAACAATTCACTCTGAGCTGGATATATTTAAAAACTTAGGGGCTGGAGGCCTTTAAAAATTATTCCTTAACCTAAGATCACTAAAATCAGTGGGAGTTAGAGGATTAACTCAGGAAAATTTGAACCTTAGCCTTGTAACTGCCATTAACATTAATGGAATGTCTCTATACACATAATTCTGAAAATGTAAGCTTCATACTGCTGTTATTACACTTGGATTACATTAGATGCATGACAGTTCTTTTGAAAAAAATGGTTTCAATTTATAGGCCTTTATATCATGAGGCTACATTATTATAAAATATAAAGGATATGTTGATTTTGTTACTAAATTTCTCTAAATTCACTAAAGTAAAAATGGCTGAGCCTTTCGTAGCACTTTAAAATTCTAAGACAAAAAAAATAATCTTATAATCAGCATTGATACTGGCAATCAATTTGAAAAAATAAAAAACCAGCCCTGTCATTAAACCATGGTTTAGTTTCCCAGTTAAATCTTTAGTGACTGTTCATGGGTTAGATCCTTAGTGAATGTAAATTAGGTAATTTTATTGAATTCAGTACAGCTGAATTTAACTTATGAGGACTGAGAATATGAATTGATAAATTATTAATCCAGTAAGGGTTTTGTAGTAAAACTTACCTCTCAACAGGAAAGGGAATTTCAAATTTGCACTTGAACAATTGTGGTTTGTTTTGTTCTGTGGGGATGTATCTACAGCTAGTCAAGCAAAGACTGCAATTTTTAGGTGAGGGACCCAAAGGTTCCACTTAATGTACTTTGATTCCTATCAGAAAGCAGTTCCAAAGCATGCAAACAGATATAATTTGGATAAATTAAAGCAATGGATGTGATCTAAAGCCCCTGCATTATTCCACAGTACAGAGTGGAGATAGCTCAGGGTATTTTCTTTTAAAACACGTGTAGTGTGGGCATCGAGATCCTCTGTACAAACAACTGTTTCCTTCCACACATTTTTTTCCTGTTGTTTAAAACTTGGTAACATAGATGTAGTTCTATTTTTCTGCTCTCTTCTCCAGAGCCCTTCCAGTTCCTTGTAGAATTTAGGAATTTTGTCTTATCTCCACTTTTTAAACAGAACAAATCTGCTCCTGCAGTTATCAGGAAATTATTCTGTGGTTGCTGTGAAATTTGGCATGTGCATTTGGTATGGACTTGTTAAAATCTTCTGCTAAAATCCTACACATTGCCACCCATTCCAGCATCAAATGACTTGGCTGACACTGGCTGCACTGGGGAGTCTCAAGCTCACAAAGTACAGGTAAAACTGCCAGGTAGGATACAGACAAGTGAAGATCACCCTTTTATCTGCCACAGCATAATTCCAATTATTATTGTTAGCCACAGCTAAATGGAAAAATGCTAGATCAGGAAATGCAGAAGTGACGTTAACAATTCCATGTATTTGGAACAGTCCTTATTATTAAAGAATTGGGAAAAATTTGTTATTATTGATTTATTATTCATTGAGAAAGCATACAAGTTTTAGTAAATAAATTTTAGAAGTGGGACTCCTGAAAAATTGTAGAGGTTTGAAATAATCTCCTCTCTACAAGGATTTGGATGATAACATGGATAAGAACCACTTATTCATATATTAAATTTCCTTTTACTTCATGAACAACAAGATTTTGAGGATGTTTTTCTTATGGTCATTGTTTCTGTTAATAACCCTTGTTTGTGTGGAAAGATAAACTTGTTTGACTGTATAAAACACTCTGTCCACTCAGTTTATAGAATGGCTTGACTGACTCCCTGTCCTGCCATCAATGCAGGGTTCAGGTCACATGAGACTGCAGCAATGGGGGGGATGCATTCCAGAATTCATGACGTATTTAATTCATGATGTATTTCATGATGTATTTCAGAATTCTCATTAAGAACAACACATCTTGAATCACACCTTCCTTTGACTTGTCCATGAATTCCTCTTCTGGCCATAAGAAAATAGTGATCTTGTAATAATGAGGGGCTTGCAAGACCAGTTTAATTAATGGTTGAAAAATATATCTATTAACATTGGAAAATAGATCTCAAAATCTCAACAGCTGTGAGTAAAATGATGGACTGACTATCACCTGTAAGTTTTTGAATTGGCATATTTTCAGACAAGTTTCAGGAAGGGCCTAAGCCTGGGAATAGAGGGCTCTGATTTGCATTCCCAAATCTAGTCTAAGTCTGCGTCATGATCTAGTTTGGTGGGGTGTTAATTTATTTCATTTTTAGATGAATATTAAGTGTTATTTGCCATATAATCAAGCATTTCAAGTCGTTTGTTACACAAGGGTAAAAGGATGCTCTCAGTTTAGGTGTGCCACACTAAGAAAAGGTGGCTTGGTTTCCACCTGAACAGCGTGGTACTTGGAAAAGAAGTGGCAGCTGATCCAGATTATAATGGAAGATGACATAAGGTGAAACTTAGAGATCATTTGGCATTGAATGATAAGAGCCAGTAGATGCCTAAAGGCAAATTTAGGGAGATTACAGCCGCCTAAACCAAAGAATGTGATAAAGAAAAATTCTGTCCATCCTTTAAGGTCACGCTCACAGTATCCCTCAAGGCTGAGAATTGTTCTGAAGGTCAAGCTTGTCTGTATTCCACAGGATAAGCCTGCTAGCATGATTCAAGCACAACAGGAATAAACCCTCCAGGAATCTGCATGGCCAAAAATGTGAAGCATGACTTTCGTTCCCAGCCTTGAATGAACAAGATGTCCATGAGACTGATATGTGGAAGAAGTTTATGCATGGTAATCAATACACTTCTGCCACTTCAGAGTGGCACAGACATAAAATCAGGTACCTGAGTATCTTTGTCTTCCCTTATTTTCAAAAAGAAATTACTCTTGCCACCAAAAATTATCTGTACATTGACACTTCTGTGCATCACGATCCTGTCTGGTTTGATTATTCAGCAGCTGCCAGTCTTTTGGGGCTCACAAACCAGGAACCTCCAAAGCAAAACTCCTTCAATGATATTCAGTAAATACAAAGACAAACAGTGATATTACTTGTCACAAAGAAAATCAGCATTTACATTTAAAAATTACCTGAAGAGTCATGGTAAAGTCTCATTTATAGAGTGGCCAAGTGTTTCTATTTCCTGGGCAGAGGGGGGGTCAGATTCTAGAACCTTCTCATTCTGACAGAGTCAGCTCCAGCTTTCACAATTCCTAGGACAGTGCCCACGGTCTCCAGTTTGCAGGGTGCTCTGATATCTCTCTCCTGTTGCTATTGGTCTGTACTGCAATGACAAATTATCAGGGGAAGAGAGAATGAGAGAGGAAGGAAGGGAAAGAAAAAAGAAAGGAAAGAAAAAGGAAAGAAAAAGGCAAAGGCAAGGCAAGGCAAGGGGAAAGGGGAAAGTGGAAAGGGGAAAGGCATGGGAATCTGACTTTACAGACCATTGACAATAAAGAACTTGTTTGGTACTAGGGTAAGGATTTTAAGGATTTTATAACCCCAGGCTTCCATAATGTCCAAACAAGGTGTTTAATCAGAGGCATCAAATCTCATTTGTGACAAGGATAAGTAACAGAAATAGAGCAAAAATGGACAATGGAAAGACTGCCAGGGTTTTTAGGGGGAGAGAGTACCCTATAACTAACTACAAAAAAAAAAAAAAAATCCAAAAATCAAACCAGGGAAGCTGTTTGGCATATAAGTCCTTCTTGCATTGGTTACTTAGTTCATCTACAAGGACCTACCAGCATTGCTTCAATGCAAGTGGATTTGATTCATGTTCAGACTTGCCTCTGAAGTTATCCCTGTCTGAGGAGACCTGATGAGGTGATCTGCAGAGATCCTTCCTAAATCAAACCATCCTGTGATTCTCAGTAATCTACCACTGTGTAGCAGACAGCTGGACAAGCTACTACCAACTCTAATCTACCTTAATTAGATAAGCACTGTGTTAACACTGAGTACTTGATACTGCACATCTACAAATACTAGCCTAATTTTATACACACATTTTTCATAAATTTTTGTGCCAGAATTTACCACAAATTTCAAAAATTAAATTATATTCTTCTTATTATACTCAACGTTAGTCATTTAAATTATGCAAAAAAAGATCAGAAACACTAGTCAGTAATTTGGTACAGAAAATAAAATTACCTCAGCAAACTGATATTACACTGAGAAGTGTAGGTAAAGAGAATATATTACCTAAATGGAAGCAGCCCCTACCCAAACACTGTTAGGAATGAAGAATGGCCATAGTAGAAAGACAATAAAAACTCTCAGAGCCCTAAAATCCTCATATGACATTCCCTATATCCCTGTCTGAGGACTACACTGATCATGAGCCCAGGTTTCCATTTCCTGTTTACATTGAATTGATTTCAAAATTTGGTTTTCTTACTCTCCTGACACCTCTACCCTTTCCTTCACAATTCCTTTATGCTGTTGTTGCTTAAACAAGATTTACAGACTCGTAAGAAACTTTCTTCAACTACAGAAATCAATAAATTAATGGGTTTAAGGGGACTAGCAAAAGGCATTACACATACATTGATATTGTATACTATATATTACATTATGCCTACGTAATCAGACACATCTTGCTTTAACTTCTTTCTCTTTCCTCACCTTCACAGAAATAAATACCAAACACTGCCAGGAGCAAACTTCAAAACTTCATGAGTCCAAAACGTACTGCCTGGAAAATACATTTTCTTCTATGAACAAGAGGACATAATTTTCCTCAGTTCCCACTTTTTAGGATTTTGAAAAATTGAGCAACACATTTTAAAGGGTACAGAACAGTAACAGAGACATGAACCTGAAATATATCTTATGTAGCAATAAAAGTGGTATAATAAACTCCCTGATATATCTTTATGAAAAAGGAAGAAAGGCCCAAATTTCATTAATAAAGTTGAAACAAAATTAAAATTTAAATGAAATTAAATTTAAAAAATAAAATTAAAATTTAAACCCTAGTGGGAAGAACAGATAATTTTCCATTCAATTATGCTCTCTGTTCAAATTCCAGATGCCTCTCTTTTGGGGAAACATATTATGCCCAGGTCACATTCCTGTGTTTAACTAAGTTTACAGTCACTCCCTTTTCTTTAAATACTTGAGAGCTTTTTGTTTCTGCATGTTCTGAAGTGTCATCATTTATTGCCACAGGCACAATGGCTATATTAAACTAATAATGACAGCAGTTGTCATTAGGTTTTAAACTCACTAACACTAGGCTGACATATTATTTGAAGTATGTCTTAATACTAAATTTGATTAAAATTACAAACATCCCATATTCTCTGCCAATCAACAAGCCTCATCCCCTCGTCCTGACCTTTTCTATGAACTCTTAAGGAAAATAGGTCATGGTAGCAGAGTCCACTTAAAATAAAGAAGATCCCCAGATTGTGAGAGTACTTCTGTATTGTGTTCAAAAAACACAAATAAAAGTATAGGTTCATTGATGAATGATCAATGTTTTTCATTATTTTTTGTATGATAGGAATCTGAAATGTAGAATTTACAAAAAACATGCTATAATTCCTTCCCAAAAAATGAAGTTACTTTGGGAAATAATTTAAAATATGCAAATTACTACCAATTAAAACTGCTAATATGTCTAATTGAAGAGGGAATCAATACTAAAAAACTATTAACACTCCTGAAGTAAAGAAAATTGTTTGAAGAAATAAAATATTTGGTATTGGAAGAGTTAAAAAGAATTAATACTTGTTCATGTAATTTCATATGAATCCTTACCTTATTTGCACTCAAGTAAACATGAAATTATCTGGGGATTAAACAGGTGTAAATGCCAAACAGAATAAATAAGACAAGCCCTGCAGACACTGCAGCAAAAATGCAGAATGATAGAAACTTAGAGACTGGGTGAAATGTTAAAACTGCCAGGCTTTTTGGCAGCCCCAAGCTCAGTTGATGGGCTGATGGTTTACAATGCAAGCAATTTTCTTTCATTTAGCAGAGGGAAGAGGCAGAATGCCTCTCAGTCACCCCTTCTCTCCATTTATCTGCACCATTCCTCTCCATTTTTCCCTTGAATTTAGGAGCGCTGGATCTAGACTGATAATGATTGGAAGACTCTGTCTTGTTCAGGATTTTAATTTCTCCATTTGGCATGGCTGGTAATCATTTTGGGTGGAGGATGTTTTTATAATAGGCATCAGAGATGTAATCATAAATAATTTTATTTTTAGCTATTTGTTATTAATTATTAAATTAGTTGTTTATTATTTTAAACATATTCTTACAGCAATCTTCAGATTAGTGGGGGTACAGGTCTCAGTGTTTGACATTTCTTGAATAAAATTTCATTTAAACACTCTGGCTGAGTGGAAACAAAGGGATTAGACAAAGGCTCTGCAGGCCAAGATCTTCATCTGTTCCCATGTGAAAGGTAGGGGAAAACATTCCTATAACTACTGGTTCTTGTATTCATAAGGTTGTATAAAAAATTTGTCTTCTGGGATACTGTTGGGGAGGTGTTAGCACAAGTCCAAGCCCTAGGTAAATAGATTTGTACTTTTAACATTTAATTTAAATTGATGTAGCTGTACCTTACTGTTTCCATGTTCTTTTATTCGACATAGTTTTAAGCCATATTTGGAAAGTATATTTCCAGTCTAGAAAACAGCATTATTCTTGTTTTATTAATAATACAGAATTTTATTACAGACCTCTTTATAATGATTATATTCCTACAGATGTGAATATCTTGAAAAGGTGCAGAAAGACACCTTGTCAAATCCAGACATCTTACAGCCTGAGCCTAGTGTAGAAATTTGTGAAGGAATTTTAAGTTCTCTCCCTTTAAATTCAGGTGGATTATGGGAATGGCATCAGGGTCTGCATTCCCTCAAAACAAAGTACTGACACCTAAATAATGAATACATCTTACTCTTTGATGTTCTAAAGCAAAGTACAATATAAACCAGTGCTTTTTGAGGGGCTAAAAGGGTAAGAAATAAGGCATTTGTTTATGTATAGATGAATATATATATAGAATGTAGTAGATACTATCATTTGATACTATCAGTTGAAAAAGTGGAAACTCCATATAAAGAGTTTAGTCATTTCTGTTTAGCAGCACATTGGAATGGGTGTTGGCTGGTTATCTGAACAATTCCATTTGTATAATTAATCTCACACTCCTGTAATTTTTGAATTACGCCTTTTCAATCACAAAGTAGTTCCCAAGGTATTATTGAAAAAATATTCCATCTGGTGATGTTTATTACCCTGACCAACTTGCCTGATGTGCTTGTGTGTGCAAATTCATTATCACTTTTGACTATCAGTTTACATCTAGTTAAGTTTTCATGTTTCCTTCTTTTGGGCTAATTCTTGCTCCCAGAAATCAAACCATAATGGTGGAAAATGTCCTTACCCCCATAACATCACTGAGCTAAAGCACATCACAAAGGTCTCTACTATTTCATTAACAAACTGCCAATGTTAATGGACAAGACAGTAAAGCCAAAGGCCAGGAAGGAAAGCTAAAACCTGAAAATACACATTTGTTGTGATCATTGTGCTATCACCAATGCCTCATACATATCACCTGGAAGAAAAAATTATCAAACTCTCCTGTGGAAGCTCTTGAGGGAGTACTGCTGAGCCTGCCAGAGTTCAAGAGTTTGGACAATGCTCCCAGCCACAGGACGTGACTCTCGGGGTGTCCTGTACAGGGCCAGGAGCTGGACTCCACCATCCTGATGGGTGCCATCCAACTCAGCATATTCTGAGTCTGTGATTTGGTAATTCTGTGATTCTGTGTGATTGTGTGATCATATACTGTGACTGTGTAATTTCATGTGATTCTGTGATTCTGTGATTTGGTAATTCTGTGATTCTGTGTGATTGTGATTCTATGTGATTGTGTGATCACATACTGTGACTGTGTAATTTTGTGTGATTCTGTGATTTGGTAATTCTGTGATTCTGTGTGATTGAGTGATCACACAGTCTGTGATCTGGTAATTCTTTGATTCTGTATAATTCTGTGATTCCCTGTGATTTGTGATCACATACTGTGACTGTGTAATTTTGTGTGATTCCGTGATTTGGTAATTCTGTGATTGTGTGATTGTGTGATCACACAGTCTGATTTGGTGATTCTGTGTGATTCTGTGTGATTCTGTGATTCTCTGTGAATGTGTGATTCTGTGTGATTCTGTGTGATTCTGTGATTCTCTGTGGTTGTGTAATTGATTGTGATTTTGTGATCACACACTGTGACTGTGTGATTCTGTGATTTGGTGATTCAGTGATTCTGCAATTCTGTGATTCACTGACACATGTGCCTTTGATTCTTGTGCCAAAGGAAGTAGTAGAGTTTGCCAGGGGAAAAAATCTAAAGAAGAAAAGACAGGGTATGTTAGAGTGGCATATCTATTACCATGAGATTCCTGTATAAAAAAAAACCCCAAACCCTAAAGATCTAATGCCACTGAGCAACTAGAAGGGAAATTTCTGTATTGAAATAACTCATAAATTGGCATCTTCCAAAAATTCAAAAGATTTCAAAAAGGGTCCTCACAACAGAAAAAGGCTGTAAGAATCTGTAATAATAATGTGAATCTGAATTTTCCACAATAACAGAGTAAAATTAGTTTTCTTAGAGAAGCCCTTAAAATGTGCTCTAAATGTTGCCTGCATCCTTCTCAAAGAGCAGGGTTGTGTTAGTCTATCTTTCAGGATATAATCAAGCTATTGTAGAAATAATCAATTCTATTTTGTTATGAAATATTTTAAAAAATCTCTTGATGCAAGAGAAAATGCCCATATCTTATAACATATCTCTGGTTTAGGTCTTAAGATCTCCAACCTAAAACAAGAATAAGCTCATAACAGATGATGATTTACACATTGCTGCATATTTTTTGGGTCTTTTTTCATGCAAAATCCCAGTATAAATGCACTGAAATAATAACATACAATACAGTCATTACAGAAAATTTTGTAATAAAATTTTCTGTAATCAATCAAGTCCAAAGAGAAGATTCATTTTTTTCTGAAAAATAAAATACGACAAATTTAATTTTTATTTGCTGGTGAGAAAAAGATCCTAGAGTACTTAGAATGCTGCTTGGAATTTAAACATTTCCAAACTGGTCAATGGTTAGAATCCATCTTTTCACTGACACTCCTTGCAGAAAAGATGTCCTGTTTTAAATGCAATCACACTCTGAAGCAAGGTAATGGTAAATGGCAAACACAGCAACTGAAAAATTGCTGAATGGAACATAAAGTACTCAAGAAGCCATTTTTCCCACAATAGCATGACTGATGTGCACAATTTCTTTTATGAAGGAGTGATAGCTAATTGATTATTTTACTCAGAAAGTTTCCTAAAGTCACTGCAATTGAATCAAATAGAAATAAGATAGTACCAGCTGAATAAACTGATAAATAATGAAGAAAGCATGAGCAGAACACTGGAAACACCTGAAATTCAATGGTAATGAGGTATAGAGGTACAATAAAAGATGACAGGACAGACACAAAGGAATAAAAGAATAAAGAAAATACCCACTATATTTTGAAATTCAGCTACTGCTAAATATATTTGTCTGCAAACAACGCTCAATTATATGTGCTCCCCTAAATTTCCACTAGTTAAATTTAAAATTTCCAAATAAATTTCCAATAGTTAATTAAATACAACCACTGACCCTCACCAAATGACGTGCAGGAACTACACATGACAGAGAATCAGGTCTTTGGCACAGTTCTGCTCCACAATAGTAACCCCCAAAATGGGATTTAAATGTTTAAAATGTGACACATTTTTGTT